TTCATACATATGCTCAAACTCCTATGAAAAGGTATGGTTGTGACAGTATTGCATTATTATACGAGAACTGCTCGTCTTCAAAAGAAACAATAGTACTACCTCCATCGAATGGCAGCATCCCACTGAGGAGAATGTAAAGAATCACCCTGGCACTCCAAATATCGACTTCAGGTCCATATCGTCGGTGCAATACTTCTGGAGCAACATAATAAGGACTTCCGACAAGACTCCTGAAAACATCTCCTACATTAGTAGAGAAAGTTCGACATATGTTCACGCTCGAGATCGAATAACATAGACAAGTTCAAGCTATGTAAACCATGAATTCTCACCTGGCTTAAAAAATACAGAGAGCCCGAAATTCGGTAGCCTTCAATGGAGAATCCTCGTCCTTATTCAAGAACTAGAAATTCTCAGGCTTCAAGTCCCTATGGATCACCCCCATGGAATGACAATTATGCACCACCATCAAGATTTGTCTACACAAATTAGCGGCCTCCCTTTCTGAATAATGACCTTTCTCGATAATCCGATCAAACAATTCTCCTCCAGCACACAGTTCCATGATCAGATGCACCGAGCGCCGATCCTCATAAGCTCCCTTCAGCTCAACAATATTCCTATCAACCCCATTTACTTAGAACCTTTAAAATTATCAAAAACTAAACAGAATTAGAGAAAAGGTTTGTTTTGGAGGGGAAACCTGTGACCGGTGAGATGATGCATGATCTGGATTTCATGGCGGATGTCTTCGATATCATCGCGGCTGATAATATACATGTGGAGATTGATTTGCAAGCGAACTGCTGCTGGGTTTCATTGTGAGTCACCAAGTAGGTAACACCGAACTGCCCGCGACCGAGCTCGCGGCCGAAGACGTAAATAGACCGGATGTATTCCATCGGACGGCCGATGGGTGGAATGTTGGGGGTGGCGAGGCGGTTTCTGGAGGCGGAGGAGCAAGGATGGTGGCGGTGGTGGTGTGTTGAATATTTGTGGTGTCTTGACGATGAAGGGCCGGCAGGTTTAGCGTTGGCGCCGTTACGGTGGCTACCGCCGGAATTAGAGTCTGGTCGGAACCGATCATCGGCGATGGGGAGACTGTCGCGATGACCCATTATTGAAAAAGAACTGAGTTGGGGCAAGCGAAGGAGGTGAGGCAGAAGGGAATATACTTGTCTCTCTTTCTCGTAGGAAAATTAGAATATAAATAATTTTTTTTAAGGGTAAATTACACTGTTTCTTACAAAACTTTATTCTCTCTTTTATTTTGCTCACCCAACTTTTATTTTTTCTATTTTACTCATTAAATTTTATAAATTAAATTATTTTACTCACTCGACCGTTAAATTTATAATAACTAAATGACATGAATTTTTTTATTAATATATAACGATGATATATTTTATTAATATTTAATTTTTACGTGTAATGTTTGATAAAATAAAAATAAAAATTATTAATTTTATTCCTAAATCTTAATCTCAAATTACTATCTCACCCCACCCTCATCCTCCAACTCCCATCGTCGTTGTCTGCCATTGTCTATCCCAAATTACAAGAACCAGGAACCGTTTCTGCGTCGAACCCAAACCAAGCCACCCACCAATGCACTCCATGTTTGGTTCGTCGGGGCTCACCATCAGAAACCCCTCCAACAAAATCTTACAAAGAAAATAAATGGTTAAATAAATCTAATCTTTCAAACCAAACCCTTAGTCTCTGTTTTTGAAGCAAACCCAACACCCTGAAATCGCCAAAATAATTGATTGCTTGAACAAATGCGTATGTACCCTAAACCATGATTTCTTTGAAATGCAAAAAAAAAAAAGAAATAAGAACATAAACCAATTGCTGCATTTTTTTTTGGAATAATTGCTTGGTTTTGATCTCATGGACATGCATGACTTTAAAAACAGCCAACAGTAAAGACCAAAGAACAAAAATTGAAAGATTTAATGTTAGATCCATAAATTTTAAGGGGTTTTATGTTAAATTGACAGTAGATTTGAGTTCAAAGGAAAAAAGCAAGTTTGGTGGAAAAATTTGGGGCTTATTGGCCATTGTCAACAGCGACCGATGTCGTGTTCTATCGCAACGAATGGTGATCAAAATTCTACCACGTTGAGAGAAAATGAAAGAGATAAAGAAGAGAAGAAAACAAGGAAAAAAAAGGAGATGAAGGAAATTTGGGTTGTTATATGGATGTAAAACGTTGTCTTTTTTGTGTAAATTTAATTTTTTTAAAACGATGTCATTTTGATGTTGTGTGCCATGTCGTAACGCAATTAATTATTTAACGGCATGATGACCAAGACATGAGCAATGTCAAAGATTAATGAGCAAAATAGAAAAATTAAAAGTTGGATGAGGAAAATAAGAGAGAGTAGAATTTAAGGAGGAATGGTGTAATTTAACCATTTTATAATTGATGAAAGAGGGGGATGGTTTAAGGAAAACTTTGATTTCGACGGACCGATTTAACCCATTCTATTAATCCAGCTTAAATGGTTGGATAAGTATATGAATTTGCACAAGTATAGACTGAACAACGACACACATATAAAAAATTGGGTAAAGTACAAAAATTGTCCATTGATTATAGGATATTGTTTTATGAAGTTCTTCAATTATTAATAGTTATAAAATGATCCTCTGACTATATAGAGTTTTTTTGTTGAGTCCTTTGATTATTGTAAGTTACAAAATGGTCACCTGATTGTTTATTATGTTCTAAACTCGTCATTTTCTGTTAAAAATTTGACGATCGTTTGAATTGTATGTTAACATGCTAACCGAGATATGATAAAATTTGTTTTCATAATCTTAAACGACTATTATATCTTAGTCAACATATTAATGTCCAACTAAAATGATCGTTAATTTTTTTAACGAAAAAATGATGAGTTTTGAATATAATGAATGCTCGAGTGATCATTTGACAACTTTTAATGATAAATGAACTCAATAAAGCAACTATCTATGGTTGATGGATCATTTTGTAACTTTTAATAGTCAATAGACTTAATAAAATGATATCATATAATCGAATGATTATTTGTATACTTTACCCTAAAAAATTATCTTTACTCAATAAATACACATTTAAAATGCTATAATTACACACTTGAAAAAGTTTTTATCTAAATAATGTGAGATTTTATCATGAGTTTCTCAAATATCATATTATGTAGATATAAAGTATTTTAAATGTTTTTTTAAATAATCAATATATTTCATTTATCGAAAGTCGTATCAACAAACAGCATGCCAATGACAAATTGAATAAATACAGTCGAAACTATCGAAAATATAATATAACAATGATCACTTAGAGATAACATATAACCAAAACATTAACAAATGAAGCAATAACGTACAAAAAATGAACACACCAACGACTCGGAGCAATAAACATGGAATAGATAAACTTGAAGAATAATCAAAATGACTAACGGAAAAAGCGATATCCCCTTAACATCAATCCCATCCGACATATAGATGTGATAACCAACGAACCGACTTGAACAAACGAACAAAGAAATCATACATCGAGAAAACAACAACCATGTATTAAATGAAAATAAAAAACCTAAAAAAAAGACCAATAAAAAACCTATATCGAGAGTCTAAAAATATCGGTAGTTATGATATTTTTCATTAGAGAAAAAACCAAGAATATTATTATAGTAAATATGATAAAAATATAACAAAAAATGACAGGACCACCACCACTACCATGAAAGTAGAGTTTTTGAAAACTGCCCAAGAAAATTTGCAACTCCCGCAGAGCAAAAATCATATTGATAAGTATTTTAAATGTTTAAATATACACTTTAAATATAATGGTTTATTCATATAGTCAATACTCGTTTGATTTAATTAAAGAGATCTCACATCATATATCGTTAAATAAATTAATAATCAATACATAAACTTTAAAATTATATTAATTACCATTGATAGTTGTCATTGTAGATAGGGGTGGATGCACTAAGCTCCATAGGTGTTAAGTGCATTCTCATTATTTTAAAAAATAATTTAATTTAGTTTAATTTTTTAAGATAAAAAAATTTTATGTACTCATTATTTAAAAAAAATAAAATTTTATACCTCATACTTAAATTTTTAGATCCGCAAATAATAATAATTGAATATTAAGTTATTAAATAGTCTAAATAATGACGAATAATGACGAAATGAAAAAGAAGTTGACAGTAGAGATGCACATAGCCGGATTTAAATCTGATCTGGATCGGATAAAAATCGATCCGGTTTTTTCACTAAGTCAAAAAACCGGTTTATAAAAAAACCTGTTCGGATCATAACCGGTTTGGAGGGCCGGATGATGTAACCGGTTTCGGTTTGAAAAAAACTGGTTTTTTTTTAAAAATCGGTTTTTAATCCGGTAAAAAATTCGGTCATCCAATTTTTTAAACCTCAGACCGGATTTTTAAACCCCATACCGGATTTTTTCGGATAAAAAACCAATTTTTTATCCGGTTTTTTCAAACCGGTTTTTAATCCGGTAAAAAATCCGGTCGTCCAATTTTTTTCCTTATCCGGTTTTAAAATTTCAGATCCAGTTTAAAAAAAACCTGTTTTTCCCAAATCCGGTTTCGAATATTTTTTGCGTAAAATCGGATATTCGGATTTTTTGTGCACATCTAGATGACAGTGACCTTAATAAAGATGAATTAAAATTGCAATGATTATAATGTAAATTTTAAAGGTTAGGTGAACAAAATATAAATGTTTTAAACGTTTAGAGACTAGTAATGTAGTTTTCCTGATAAATCAAAGCATATAATATGTGAATAATACGACTCTAAACCCCGAAACTAACCACTAATAGCGAACGTTTCACACCCTTAAACTATTCGATTTTTAGATTATTCTCCAACTAACTCCAATTTGTTCAAAGTTTGAATCTGCTTATTATTTGTTATATGTATATATATTATACATATATAATATCATATTTTATTCTCTGTTAGTAATTTAGGGTTTATAGGTTTGGTCATTTGAGAGTGTTAAACGCTGATACTTATTTTATCAGCAAACGATGAGGTTCTCGGACTTCTTTCGCGGCGAACCTTCCGGTTCTGGTGACCCTGAACTGGACTTCGGCTTTGCTTTTAACGACAGTAATTTTTCCGATCGGGTCTTGAGGATTGAGGTCGTTCGGGATTTTCCGGAGGCAAAATCTGACGGTGACAGTTGCTCGTCCATCGCGGATTGGGCACGTAATAGAAAGAGGCGGAGAGAGGATTTCAGGAAAGAAATTGGTTTGTTCTTTCTACCGTCAACATTATTAGTGTATCACAGTACCTGTGTTTGTTTTAGGCTTTGACGATTTTTTTTTGGTGTGTTCCGGTCTTGCAGATGTTTCCGTGCAACGTGAGGAGCAAATATTGAATTGTAACTTCCCGGACACTGAGGATGGCGAGACGTTTGAAAATCAAGATGAAGATGCCAAGGCAATGACTGAAAAGTCTCCTTCTGGTGTTGGATTGAATTGCAATCTAATTGGTAACTAGTAAATTTCATCAAATAAAGTGCGTTTTTTCAATTAATCTTGATGTATTGTGGGTTTCTTCCTTGAAATGCCGTCCTTTGTTGTTTATGCTCCGTATCTTCATAAGTTGCTAAAAGAACAAAACAAAAGAGTATGATTTGAAGTCGAATTTGACTGGAAATAAGAAAATGGGTAGAGTAAAATCTTGGATTCTGTTATTCAAGAAAGTTATTTTTGTATTGCAAGGAATGAAACTTGACACAGATATGGTCTTTTGTAGGGAATGATATGGTTAATAGCAATGATTCATCTTGGAATATTGATTGTTCGACAGTTCTAAGAGTCAATATAGTGCATGTTAGTTCTCCAATTTTAGCAGCAAAAAGCCCCTTCTTTTACAAGGTAAGGGATCCTGGTTGCCGGTTGGTTGGTTTTTTCCTTGTTACTGATTGTCGTACTCATGGTTGACATACTGATTTATGCTTACAGTTGTTTTCAAATGGAACGAGGGAGTCAGAGCAGCAACATCTAGCACTCCGGATACATGCCTCTGGTAAATGTTAAGAGTATTAAGTATTTTTCCTATTATCGTACCTTTCTTCTTGTTTGTCCTCTTGCTATGAACCCAATGAACTTCAACAGTTTTCATGCAAGAACTGTTAATATTTAAGAATTTGCTGGTGATCTAAATGTCATTATATTCTTTATTGAGTTAGTACCGTACTTATTGACACAGTAAACCATAACTATGACCTTGTACCTCTCCCCCCTCTGAGCAGAAGAAGCAGCTTTCCTGGATCTTCTTAAGTTTATGTATTGCAACTCACTGTCAACTACCACACCTACTGCCGTGCTAGATGTGTTGATGGCTGCTGACAAATTCAAGGTTGCATCATGCATGAGATATTGTGGTCGATTGTTACGAAACCTACCAATGACCTGTGAATCGGCCTTACTGTATTTGGATCTTCCTTCTACCATTTTAATGGCAGATACCGTCCAGCCACTGACAGATGTAGCAAAGCAATTTCTTGCCGCAAGCTACAAGGACCTGGCCAAGTGAGTGCTGTCATTATCTACTATATTAGATGATTGAGTAGCTTGTTATCTGTGTCAACAAATGTCGGGTTTTTTCCACACTATACATGAATGCATATGCAGTGTTTAGTTTTTTCCTTCAAAACTTCTAGTTATTGTATCAACTAATTTGCTCTTTTTTCCTCAGGTTCCAGGATGAGGTACTCAAGTTGCCTCTTGCTGGTATAGAGGCAGTTTTTTCCAGTGATGATCTCCAGGTAGCTTCAGAGGATGCTGTTTATGACTTTTTGCTGAAGTGGGCTCGGACTCATTATCCAGAACTGGAAGAACGACGTGAAGTTCTCACTACGCGTCTTGTCTGTCTAATCCGTTTTCCGTATATGACTTGCAGAAAGCTGAAAAAAGTTTTAACCTGCAACGACTTTGATGTAGAAACTGTATCCAAGGTTGTGCTTGAAGCTCTGTTTTTCAAGGCTGAGGCATCTTTCCGACAGCGTGCTATCACATCAGAGGCCGCCAATGTCAGTTTTAGTTACTATGTGGAGCGGGCTTACAAGCACCGCCCGGTCAAGATTGTAGAGTTTGAACAGCCATGGCAGCAGTGCATTGTATACCTGGACCTGAAGCGCGAGGAGTGTGCGCATCTGTTTCCGGCTGGTAAGGTTTATTCACAAGCGTTTCATCTTGGCGGACAAGGGTTTTTCTTTTCCGCACAGTGCAATATGGACCAGCAAAGCTCGTTCCACTCCTTTGGACTATTTTTGGGAATGCAAGAAAGGGGATCCGTTACTTTCGCCGTCAACTACGAGTTTACAGCAAGGTCAAAACCAACAGAGGATTATGTAATTAAGCACAAAGGTAATTACAAATTCATGGGCAGAAAGGCCGTTGGCTATCGTAACCTGTTTGGTATACCATGGACACTATTCATGTCCGACGAGAGCAATTACTTTATTAATGGCGTTCTCCATATCAGGGCCAAACTAACACTTAGAAAATGAGATTGTGAGCTAGGTTTAAGGAAGTATTGCATGGTCACTGTTACTTTATTTGGAATTTATAATATAAATTTGGAATTTATAATATAAATTTGGAATTTAGCCCTTGGATTCAAATGTGGGATGGTTAACAACTTGCAAGGTTCCAAATTACAATTAAAAAATGACATTTTGAGTTGGAAGCAGAAGCTTTCATGGAAGCCTTATAGCATCTTTCATGTTTAAGTTCAAAGATAGCACTAAATGCATGTAAATTCAATGGGCTTATATTATATATGTTCAAAGATAACTCTCAATCATTTGATATTGAGTATTTATTCTTATGGTATTTCTGATGCTCGAACTTGAGATTTCAAGGAATAACAACAATTCATTTACCACTGATCGAGACTTCAAGGAAAAACAACAATTCCTTACTTCCTTATTACCAATGTCACTTGGTTTGTGCAAATCACATTTTGTTATTAGTTCTTGTGTATGTATATGTTTTAAAACTTAAAGAATATAAAGACTAAAAATAAACATTTTGATAGAATTTGATGTGAAATCTAATTACAGTTTTATTACAAGTAGAAAAGTCATCTTATGATGTAAATCACATCACATTATCTATCACTAAATTTGAAAGTTTAGTGATTAAATTGTCAATATATGAAGTTAAGTAGTCAAAGAGGGAAAATGGAAAACATTAAGTGATGAAAAGCATAGTTTAACCTTTTAAAGCTTTTTTTTTTTCTCTTTACTTTGTTTCAGCTATTTTCAGCGATTACCACCAAACAAAGACATTAGTCCAGGACAGGAGGATCTCTCAGCTACGTTTTCTCTCAATTTTCTCCAATTAGCTCTGTAATTTTCTAATCCTTGCTCTTTATTTTAGATTTTTATTCGCTTTTCGAGTTAACTTCGTTGAGGAATTCGATTCAGCTTTGATTTGATATTTTTTGTTTGTTTGTTTTAGGGTATAGGTGATGGCTTCAAAGCGGATCTTGAAGGAGCTCAAGGATCTGCAAAAAGATCCTCCTACCTCTTGCAGCGCAGGTTCAATTTCTTCCTTTTTCTCCCCCTCTCTTTCTAGCCTCGGTTTCGTATCTCTTGTTGGTTTGCTTATATCATCCTTTTTATTTTATCTTTTCTTTTCTTTTTATTCATGGCATTAGAAAATTATTTCTGTATATCATGGATATATACTTGTCATTAGGGGTATGTTTTTGACCATGATGGTTTCATTGAGTCAAACTGCAATATATTTATTTTCTATGGTTTTAGGTTCACATCATTGGATTCTAGTTGACTCTAGATTGTTGAAGATTTTTTTGCCTGTCTTATTGATTGATATTCATATCCATTTTTGTTTTGTTATTGGGGGTGAATTCGTGAGGAATTGATCATGTTTTGCAGAAGATTTTTTTCTGATGCGTCATCATTTCAATTAAATGTTACTTGCGAATTTGGTTGCCCTGTCTAACCGATGTTTCACTTCTTTTTATTATTGAAATAAGGCCCTGTTGCTGAAGACATGTTTCATTGGCAAGCAACTATTATGGGTCCTCCTGACAGTCCATATGCCGGTGGAGTGTTCCTAGTCACCATTCATTTCCCTCCGGACTATCCATTTAAACCACCCAAGGCACTTAATCTAATTCCTTAACCTTCTAGTTTTCGTTATTTCCTGGTTTAATGCATATTGCGAATGTCTACTTTTCTTGACTATTCATATAAATGTAACTGACTGCCCCTTTTCTTTTTAGAAACATCAAATAGGCCATTTTAAATATCTTGGGAAAAATTGGCATAGCACTTTGTATACTGCATGTTCAATTTTTCCAATAAAATGTTTTTTTTAATAACCATATATACAAGTGCTGCAGGCAAAATTCTCCTCTGAAATCCATACATCTGTTATTTTAATGTGGTCAATGTTCCTACTTGCTCCCATTTACATTTCTACGTTTAGAGGGATATAGATTAGCCTCCATGTTATTTAGCCAATTCCTTACTGTAAATATCTGTGACCATGATTGTCTTTACAGGGTTAGTGGCTTGTGCAAACATTGCTTGGCACTGAAATGAGTAAATGCTAATTCTACTTGATAGATTATTCTGTAAATGCTAATTCCTTCTAGCTTTTTTTTAGCTTATTTTGTTGGTGGATGCATATGCATGCTATGTGTCTAATGGTTTAGTTTATATGTGAAAGGCTATTATTAGGTGGTTTTCAGTGCCAAATTTACATGATCTATTGTTATTTTTACTTTTGCAAACAGCCTCAGGTAAGCCTTCTCTATTACATGCATATTGATATTTCATTATGGCTCCTCATACATATACCTTTTGGTTAAGCACAAATTATTGTGCATGGACACCATTGGAATATATTTTACTTTTTATGCGATAATAATGATGTTCGTATATTTAAGAATTGAGATAGAATAGCATTAAATTTACTTTTAGAAAGAAATATAATTGTAACCAATTAACAATGGCTTATCAATCCTCAACTAGTTCTGCTACTGGTAATTACATGAAGTTGTTTCATGATTCCCCCCTCCCCCCACTTTAATGGCTTTATAACTTACCCGTTTTGTAGCCGATTCTTTACCAGCAAATTTCTTGTTTAGTTTTGTTCAGTTATCCTTTTCTATTTCTCCTCGTAGCATCTTTTTAAAATTCTTTTCCCTTCAATTCAGGTTGCGTTCAGGACAAAGGTCTTTCACCCTAATATTAACAGCAACGGTAGCATTTGCCTGGATATTTTGAAGGAGCAGTGGAGCCCTGCCCTAACCATATCCAAGGTTTGTTCAACATGCTTATATACATCTTTTGATTTTAATAATAGATTTCTTCGTTATGCCATCTATCAACAATAAGCCTTTAAAATTTAGCATCTCATCTACTGGCCAAGTAGTTTGCTTTGCAATCGTGGGTAAGTGCTATTTTGTTTAAGGTCACCCCGAGTTAAAATATATATTTTATATCATGCAAGTTTTTCTTGTCTTGGTTCACTGGTATTTAAGTGTGGGGCTGTTTCTTTTTTGTATTTTTTATTCTAGGTCTTGCTCTCAATCTGCTCACTCTTGACGGATCCAAATCCCGATGATCCCTTGGTGCCCGAGATCGCCCACATGTACAAGACTGACAGGAGCAAGTATGAGACAACTGCTCGGAGCTGGACCCAGAAGTATGCTATGGGTTAGTGTTTAATATGTATGTAAGAGGAGGGTTTTTCTTATTCCATGTGGCTTTGATCTTTAAATTAATATGTATAAATCAATGAATCAGTATGTGTGGTCTGTCTCTGCACTTTGTGTGCTGAACCAAGCCCTCTTTAAAACACATTTGCTGCTTTATTTGTTTGTATGGAAATTATATTTCAAACTTTAAAGCCCCCACTCTCCTACATACTCCTTGTTTTCGGTCCCTTCCCCCCGTTTATTTTCCTTGTGGAAAAAGCTGATCAGGTTCAGATGCTATAACTCCGGCTTCAGCTCTCCGCAAAGTTTAAGATATCATTGGTTGAAGTCCATTGAGTTTATCGAGTTTGTTCGCGAAAAGATGATTGATATGTTAGACTGATTTGGCGGCTTAGTGAAATTTTAGTACGAGATTTGAAATTCTGAAATTGCCAGATTCAATTGGGACGGAGGAAGAAAGGTTTCGTGTTTATTGTATGGTGCAAAGAATTATATACCTTTTGAAAATGATGAGTTTAATTTTTATTTGCAATATGCTTTTCCTTCTGTATGTAGAGTGAACAAGTTGCACCTTTGCTTCCACATGGCCTGCCTTGCTAAAACAGCAATATTACAGCTTTCGAATAACAAACATGGAGAGAATGCTAGACAAGTTGAGACAAAAATGGAAGACATGACAAAGAAAAAGAAAAGAAAATATGGGTGATAACGAAACCAAACATCAAATGACATTATCAATATCCAACAATTAATTCGTCTAAAGTCGCATCATTCTCTTAAAGTTGCAGCTTAGACCCAAATCTGAAAGAATCATGGTTTCACACCACCACCAAATCTACGAAAACCACAAAGAATCTTGAATTGAAACGCAAGCCCTCAAAAGCTAAAGCAGAAATCAGCAGCGTGAATGAGGTAGGTTAGAACCAGCGCAACCAGCATAAACGCGTAAGCAATCCCTAGATCGATCGACGTCCCTGTCGCCCCCATTCAAGCATTTCAAAAGAACAGAAAAAGAAATCATTCAATCGAATGGCATTTGATATGGAAAGTCAGATCTAAAGAGCAATAGAGAGAGAGAGAGAAAGAAAGAAAGAAAGAAAGAAAGAAAGAAAGAAAGAAAGAAAGAACCAGAGAACTAACCGTCGCTTGTGGGAGCAGGAGCAGGAGCGGGAGCAGAGGACTGTGCGTCAACGGCAAGGCTGCTATAGCAAAAAGCCAAAAACAAGAGCTGCAAAACCAGCCACAAAAGACTCCTTGGAAACCGCCATTCTTCCTTTCCAGATAAGATCGAACAAAATGCTCTCTATCTCTATCTCTCTCTCTCAGGTGTCTGTCCCTCGAATGTCGAATGTTTCAAAGAGCAACGGCTCGCCAGCCTAGCAGAGAGAGAAAGAGAGGCTGAATTGATCTTTTGAAACGATTGGCGAGAAAGGGTTGAACCTGATATTATATATGAAATTCAAAATTTATATTAAAACAAAAATAGTTTTAAAATACAATACTTCTGTGTTCGTTTCAAAATACTCTATGATTACCGGAAGAATATAATTATTATTAATTATATAGCCTGTCATATTGGTTGGCGCCATCTGCTTATGTTCGGATTCGCCCATGTGTTTGTTCCCTTTCTCTCTCTAATTAATTCCCAATAATTAAAGATCCATTTATTTTACTGAAAACATTTTTTCCTTTTAAGGTAAGAAGTTGTTGAAGATCCAACTCACTTCTCTTTTGTTTTACCCGAGCCGATAGATTACTGTAATTAATAATATTTAAGTTCTTTAGGCAGACTTTAAGTCTCTTTAATTTAATAAGGAGAACCTTCGTACGGTTGCCTTGAGCAGAATCATGCCATGATTGCCTAACCTCTATCATGAAGCTAGGATGAAGGGTCCAAAAATTGAAGAATTTGAATGGCTTAGGCTTATTAACTGAAAGCTCTTCGTAGAGCCAAAGAATAGCCATACAATGGTCGAAATTCCTGGAGCAAGGAGTTCGACAAAAGAATGTTGAAAAGAATTAGCCCAAAATGAGTTAATCCAAGTAAAAGAATTAGCCCTATCAAGTTTCCTTGCGAGATAAAATTACTGCTGCTTGTTACTCCAAGTAAAAGAAGGCCCAAAATAAAGATGATCTTGGAGTTCAAGCTCTTGAGTGATGTATTGGAAATCTTTCATATCAGAAGAAAGATAATGACCTAAGAACTCATGATCCGAGCTTTCATTAGAGTGCAAAATAACATTAAAGTCCCCTCCTAGGACCCAGAGAGATTGATTGATAATTCTATCCACTTCTTGTAACTTCTGCCAAAGTTGTCTTCGGACTGAGCCCTCATTGCTGCCATAAATAGTCGTTATAAACAAAGGAGTTCCAAGAAAAAGAACCTTTAACAGTGATACTCTGGTCAGAGACTTGAATGATAGATAAGTCTATTCCTTTCCTCCAAAGAACCCAAATCCTTCCATTAAGAGCAAAATCATAATTAGAACAGACATTCAAGTTAGAAAATTTTGACTTGAATGACAGAATGCATTGGCAATGTTGTTTTCTATAAAATAATAGATTAGCCAACCTTAAATAGTTCCCTAAGCGCAGACATTAGCAGAACACAAATGGCAGCACAATTGTATTGTACCTTGAACCCATTGATTTGCCAGCCAAAATCAGAGGATGCCCAGTATATTTGGAAACTGCATCTTTAACAACACCTGAGTGGAAATCTACCAATTTTTCTGCCTTGGGTGGAGCCTTTCTTCTTCCCCCAGACATATCTGCAAATACCACAACAATCCCTTACATTCAAAATGATTTGAAAAGAAAACGATTAAGCTGAGAAGTGAACTTGCAAGGGTAATCAAATGTCACTACTTCAACAGCATTCAACGCCTTCTTCAACAACTCTTTCCACCTGCCAAGGTTCAACTCACTTAACCATTTAACAAAACCCCACGATTAACCTTATAAAGGGAGAAAAAAGGACCTGATCATCCAATCAGAAGAGGAAGAAGCACCAGCGCCATGTGCAAAGACTACCACAGTGGATGATTTTTCTTGGGTCGACGTTGATTTTGACGGTGATTCTCCAACCACGGTTTGCCCTTTCCGTCTTCGCTTTGAAGGCGGTGAAGAAGCCATTGCCGGAACGATTTCACTTCCTTTTCGTTTTCCCAAATATAACGAATAATCAATCCTATCAAATATTAAAAAAATGAAGTTCCTTTGGCGCCAAATGCTGCTTTAGTTCCCCGCCATTTCTAAGAACTTCCCAGTTTCGCCAACACGTCATCCAACACCATTTTAGAGCCTTTTGGGCTTTTAATGAGCGTAGTGGACGCCTCTCGATTTTGGGTTTTTGCTGGATTGTACTGTGCAATGGGGAGAGAAAAAAAGGCACAAAATCCAGTATCAAAGGCTGGCCCTTTTGTCCAATTTGCAAGATATGCAAGTGGTTTTAGAGATTAAAAGGCAAAGGAATATCAATGGAGAATTAATCTTAGCGTTGACATTAAGGATAAACAAATCACATTCATGCATGGCTAAAGATAGAAGCCTAAGCACCTATACTTTATTCTTCTTCTTATCTTAATGCCTTGTCAAGGTTCTTAAGGGCCAAATTCCCCATGTGTTTCCTCCATTTTTTTTAATCATTTCAAGCTTAAGATAATCGTAAATAACATAAAATCCAGTCGTCCACGTGTGGTTTTCTGATCATTGACAAATTTTTTTGAATGTCGAATACGAATATTTTAAGAAAAATGAAGACTCGAAATCTACGCGAAGTTTGAAGGTGTGGATTAGTTATGCCAAGTTTGAAGCCTACGCGAAGGAGAATGATGAGGATTTGGATGTGCCAGAAGACAGGGTTCCGGAATATGATTATGAAGCAAAGAAGGGATGCGCTCAGCGTGCGAGTGGTGAGAGTCCGGACCAATCCAATCACATCTACTTTGATGATTTATTAGTAGTAAAATAAATTCTTACCTTCTGTTTTATTATATTTTTCACTAGGAGTCTTTGAAAGAGCAATCAACTACTATAGAACATCGGCACCGGAATTGAAAGAAGATCGTGCTATGCTCCTGGAAGAGTGGCTTAACACGGAAAGCAGTTTTGGGGAGCTTGGCGACGTAAGCGTGGTCCAGTCTAAGTTTCCCAAGGAACTCAAAAAGAGGAAGCGAATAACGAGTGAAGAAGGTGGCGTCTCTGGGTACGTAACTCGCAGTCGCACCATTTACTTTGCTTCCACTAGTATTGGCATGTCTGTATTCTGCTGGAACACTAAGAGATGTTTGTTTGGCTCTGAATGTTGAATCGTTCGGCATTCAGACTGTTTGTTTCTCATATCTGAATGATTTAATGCTGACTGATTCAACAAAACAGTGTTGAATGATTCAACACAGAAGTATATTCTGAATTATTCAGAGTTATTATCAAACAACATGTCACACTCAGAGCTAATTCATACAAAGTCTCTGAATCATTCAGCATTTAAATCATTCAGCGCTTAATCATTCTGAAGTAAACAAACAACCCCTAAGTGTTGAATCATTTGGCTTTTACAGGTACGAAGAATGTATCGATTACGTATTCCCCGAAGAAAACCAGGCGACGAACCTCAAGATTTTAGAAGCCGCTTATAAATGGAAAAACAGAAGCCTTCTTCCGATGACGAGTAGGATGATATGTGTTCTGTAACTTTGTTTTTTTGTTGTTGTAATTCCAAATGTAAATACGAGAATGCCAGTGTAACTGCTTAATGTCTGGATTTTGTTGTGCTGTTTTTGGGGTTTGGAAAACAAGCTTTGGAGGGCTGGAGACGAGAACTTTGTCAAATGAAATGAATTAGCATAGCATCCATAATCCATTGAATGATCTCAATAATAATAATAATAAAGAAAACAATCTTAGAGTAATTTATAGGGTCTTAAAGAGTGCCAAAAATAATACATTGGAAGAGAGTAGGCTTTAAGTTCTATAATTTATTTAAAATATTTAATGTCTCATCTCTTTGTTCATAATAATAACGATGAGAGAACTATTACAAAGTATATAAATGAAGCATTTTAGTATAACATATTGGACAGTTACCGCTTATTTATGTTACCGGCGGCAGTTTCATAATACAAATTAAAGCCCCAAAGTGAAAGGCACACCGGTGGTAGGCAGCCAAGAATTCCCGTCGATAAAATTGCCGACCGTAAACGCTGATGCCTCGGTTGCGTTGGTAAGAACGTGATAACCTTTCCATTTGACTCTATTGGAGGTGAAGGAACCGGGGCCGGTGTTCATGTACTCGGCATAATACAGCGTGTCGAGGGATTGATTCCATTCCATCCAACCGGCGGGGTCAATTAGGGTATCCAGGAAGGTTTTGATGATAACAGTCGTGGAAAATTGTTTCCATGGCCTCCCTAGGAACGTTTTGACAGAGCCTTGCACAGGTTTTAAATCCGAGGCTGCAGTAATTGTTGAGTTCTGTATAGTAATTCCAGAGGTGTCGTTGACGTTGGACCGGCCTTGGGCGGTCACGGTGTTGATTTTACTCGGTGGATTCCGAGCATATATGTTGCAGTTTTGTAGCACAACAGCTGCTTTGCCAAATATGAAATCCACTGTTCCGTAGACGTCACATTCTCTGTAAAATTGTTTATGGGAAAAAACGTAAAGAGTGTCTTGGTACCCTTCAAAGCTGCATCTGTAGAACACCGAGTGATCGGATCCTGAACGGAGAGCCACTGCCTGTCCGTTATTAGGACCGGCGGTGTTTCTGAACGTAATGTCACGACCGATGAACGATTCTCCGTCAACACCTGAAATGCAGATCAAATCTCATCAATGTAATTGCTCTATTAATACTTAGCAAGGTATGAGAAAAAATTATATAGCGATAAGTAAATCATGCAGAATTTTACTCACCAACAGTGGCTGTATTGAACGTACTGATTTTTTCAACTCCAACGCTTTTGTTCCCTGTGATAATAGTTTTCCCCATACCATCGCCCACCATCATAATATTTTTCAGATCACTTCCTATCTCAACGTTCTCACTGTACGTACCAGCCTTCACGTATATCACGTACCTTCCACTCCCGGACTGGCTAGAAGCGGCCGATATCGCCTCATTTATCGTCTTATAAATCCCCGAACCGTCCTGCGCTACTACGATATCAGCTTGAGAAGCCAGCGACGATGAAGACTGCAACAGCTTTGAGTCACCGTGTTTCACCCACGTGGGGAACCCATCTTTGTACGTCGGTTCCTTGTAAGGTGCCTTGTTGAGAGCCATGGTGTTACTGATTAGCTCGGACACGTTATTTGACATCATGGGAGGAAGGTAATCGGAGACACCTAGTTCGATAAACCCATCCCGGCACGTTTCGAGGTTGGTTAAAGCCGCACTAAGCCATGTTTGACGGTCGTGTCTCTGCACATTGGGGCTGAAGTCTACAGCTTTGTTGAGACCAAGTATGGTTAGCTCATAGAGCTTTAAACAATCGGACCATGCAGCCTTTTCGAGCTCATTTCGGCACTTGGGACCCAATGAATGAATGTTGCTTTGGGCATGAATGGCATGGTCTAAGGCCAGTTGCATGGAGATTTTGAGGAAATGAACCTCATCTTTGATCATCATATTTTTGCTCAAATAATACTCGCACGGCACTGGGTTGGGAGTTTTGCCGCACCACCACTTGACATCGTTGGTCCTATACCCTAACACAACAGTTGAAACAAAACAAGAAACAATCAAGAGTGCTATGAAGATTTGAGAATGTGTTAATGCCATGAATGATGTTATTTACAACTCTCTATTTCTACTTCTTGTAGAACAACAATACACTACAACTAATATTTAAAGGTCTATTATATTGATTTGATAAGCTTTTTATCTTCATTAAATGTCAATATATATGCATATATTTAACAGATAGTAACTTTTACACCAATCCGAGTCACTTGATCATATCTTATATTCACGTCACTTTATCTTATTTTTGTATCACAAAATATGAATAGATCATATCACATAATCATGTCACCTTATCTTATTTTCGTATCATCAAATATGAATAAGATTATATTTATATTCATGTCACCTTATCATATCTTTACACCATCAAATTTGACTATATCAAACTCGACTCATTTATCAAGCTCGAATCCCTTTAAAGCCCATTTATGTTACCCATCATGCTAGTATATTAATATGCACATATTTACCCTAGTAGTCCAATACTCGTTTTACAACCCAAATGTCACAAAGCAAATGTTAGCTAGTACAAACATTCAAAAAAGAAACAAATACAAAATAATGAAGCTTGAAAATGATAAAGCCACCTAGTACTCGATGTTTAAGTTCTATAACATGAATAATGTCTAGATTCCGACAGCCTTATATTAATCCAGTTTAACTGAAAAATGTCTGGATTTTAAAATTACACATCAATTACATACAGTAGATGTGAAAGAGTAGGGCTTGCTCCATGGCTTTGCTAAAATTGTACACGGCCAAGGGGAAAAGGGAGCGTTTGAACCTAACCCTGGGACTTGCAGGCTAAAGGTTTTAAAAAGTAACTTAGAAAGCAGCAGAAGGATTCGGCTTCATCTGAGAGAGCGGGTGAAGAATGAAGCGATGGCTTGAACGGCAGCATCTTCGGCTTCCTCTTGGGTGGATCCATTAGTTTGGAGGTGCTTCTTTGAAATCTTGAAGGAGTGGTCGCCACCTTCAATCTCATGCAACCCACTCATTGCCTTCATTTTCTTCTGTACACCTAGTTTTTCCAATGGACATAAACCATCTTTGGTACCCTAAGCTCATGTTCCAAAGCCAAAATAAGTTATAGCATTATAACTTAAAACCACTCTACATAAACCCCATGCTGCATATTTGATAAAGATGATATCATGCTGCCCATATCAACGTACCTAAGGATGAGTATTCGATCGAGTCAAGTTGAGTGAAAAAATTCAAGTTAATCGAGTTTAGAAGTTTCATTTTATCAGTCAAAAGTGTCATTTTATCAGTCAAACTCTTTGAATTTTTTGTACAACAAAAAGATGAAAATATGAAGACAACCACATCATTCATGTAAAGAACCAGGTATTAAGGTGAGAAGAGTACCTGCACAAACATCACAGGAACTTTAAGTCGAAGTAAAGTTTCATCTCTTACTGCTCCGTTCATCCCCTGACAGTTAAGCAAGAATTTATCGTCAATAAAGTCCGATTCAGTTTCCAAGTTGCATCACAAAAGTTAAAATACGACTCCTCAGGGTAAAAGCCATCGGTTCCTGCCCTAGTCCAAAAGGACCCCATCCTCATTCATAAAGACAACCCCCATTGTTCATACTGTAAAGTTGTACATTCTAATTGAGTACTGTGTTCATGAGTTGTGAAAGACCCCTTTATAAAGATCAACAGAATAAACCGAAACAGCTTGTCGGATTAACCTTGGGAAACCTACAACAGAAGACGGAATCGATCCGATATAAACAGATAAAACCATTGCATGTCTTCATGAGATACACTAAAACAAACCATGGATATCATGTATGCAAATTTCAAAACCAGAGCAGCACCACAGTGTGAGAAAATGACGAACCTTAAGTGGGTATCCTAGGCAAACAATTAATGATGCATCAATGTCTTCCTGGGCAGCCACCATGCAGCTCACTCTACAAAGAAACATGGCCTTAAAATAGGACATACAAGCAAGCAATCTTAAAGAAAAATGTGAATATCAACACCAGGATTAGTCATTAGTGTCCCTTAAATCCATATGACAGAATGCATTGGCAATGTTCTTTTCTATAAAATTAATAGATTAGCCAACCTTAAATAGTTCACCAAGCGCAGACATTAGCCGAATACAAATGGCAGCACAGTTGTATTGTACCTTGAACCCATTGATTTGCCAGCCAAAATCAGAGGATGCCCAGTATATTTGGAAACTGCATCTTTAACAACACCTGAGTGGAAATCTACCAATTTTTCTGCCTTGGGTGGAACCTTTCTTCTTCCCCCAGACATATCTGCAAATACCACAACAATCCCTTACATTCAAAATGATTTGAAAAGAAAAGGATTAAGCCGAGAAGAGAACTTACAAGGGTAATCAAATGTCACTACTTCAACAGCATTCAACGCCTTCTTCAACAACTCTTTCCACCTGCAAAGGTTCAACTCACTTAACCATTTAACAAAACCCCACGATTAACCTTATAAAGGGAGAAAAAAGGACCTGATCATCCAATCAGAAGAGGAAGGAGCACCAGCGCCATGTGCAAAGACTACCACAGGGGATGATTTTTCTTGGGTCGACGTTGATTTTGACGGTGATTCTCCAACCACGGTTTGCCCTTTCCGTCTTCGCTTTGAAGGCGGTGAAGAAGCCATTGCCGGAACGATTTCACTTCCTTTTCGTTTTCCCAAATTGAACGAATAATCAATCCTATCAAATATTAAAAAAAATGAAGTTCCTTTGGCGCCAAATGCTGCTTTAGTTCCCCGCCATTTCTAAGAACTTCCCAGCTTCGCCAACACATCCAACACCATTTTCGAGCCTTTTGGGCTTTTATTGCGCGTAGTGGACGCCTCTCGATTTTGGGTTTTTGCTGGATTATACTGTGCAATGGGGAGAAACGAAATCGTCTCGATGTGTGTAATCGCATAGACAGATTATCCTTCGAAATTAATATGGTCACACCGAATATTGTACACTCGGAACTGGAGTAGATTGCTTATGGTACTGCTCCTTACTAGAAAAAATCAGAAGCTTAGAAAGCTTTGAGAGTATTGAAATACGTTTTTTTTGGTGAACTGGTGAATTGAGAAGCTAGAATAGCCTAAGCAGGGGCAAAATGGTCCATCATAAATCAGATATAATTCTGATTTAATTTCTTCATTGAAATTCTGTCTGAAATCGTTGCAACCTCAGAGATGAATCTAGCCTTAAATCAGTCTAGGTTCATGTAGTAACTCTCAGCCTTTTATAACTCCTGGTAATTAACTTTGTAACTCTTATAATTACTGAGTAACTGACACAATAAATAGCTTTGAACACACCTGAAAAAACATCCAAATTCATCCAAAAAAAGCATCCATATTCATCCAACGTTTCATTGTTTGAATTTTAATTTCCGAAACTGACATGTTTAATTTTCATATATTAAAGCGTAAATTTGATATTTGTTATTTCAGAGAAAAATTCCTTACGAAATTTCTCTAAAAATATAGCAACCGCACGGACGTGTCGAAGACACGTATTGTCATGAGCCACGAGCACGAGCACCATAATGGAAAGTGGCGGGTTTTGAAATAATTAAGAGCTTATACAATGTTCAGCAATAATTGGTTGTAGAACTTACTTCATCATTGTTAGAAACTCAGTTGGCGTCACAATATCCTTTCAGTACTGCAGGATAGCTAACAAACTCAAGTTTTCAGTCTATTATACCCTTAAGGTACTTAAGTAAACGTTTGAGAGCAAACCAATGCTCACCACTTGGGTTATTGGTATACCTACTAAGTCTTCTCACATCGTAGGCAATATCAGGTCGAGTATAGTTCATTAAGAACATTAGGCTCCCGATCACTTTAGCATATTCGGTTTGAGAAACGCTACTTCCTTTATTTTTAAAGAGATGTATGCTAGGGTCATAAGGAGTTCAAACAGAGACAACGTAAAAACTGTCAAATTTCTTTTAACACCTTTTCAATATAGTGTAATTGATTTAAAGAAAATTCATTTTCAGTTCTGGTGACTGTGACTCCTAAGATGACGTCAACTTCTCCCAAATCGGTCATCTCAAATTTAGTAGACAAGAAATCTTTTGTTTTGTTAATGGACTCAATGCTAGTATTGAAAATCAACATGTCATAAACATACAAACTTATGATGACACAATAAGCACCAAACATCCTCTAATACACGCATGCATTCGAACCATTCACAAAAAAAATCAAAACTAAGGATAGTTATGTGATAATTCTCATACCATTATTTAGGAGATTGTTTGAGGTCGTAAAGCGACTTTTTAAGTCTACATACTTTGCCTTCCATGCCATGTGCCTCGAAACCAAGAGGTTGCTCCATAAATATCTCCTCATCTAAGTCTTCGTTCAAGAATGCAGTCTTTACATCCATTTGATATACTTGCAACTTGTGAATGGAAGCTAAAACAAATAATGCTCGAATCGTTGAAATTTTCGTTACGGGAGAGTAGATATCGAAGAAGTGTATACCGAACTTTTGAGTAAACCTTTTGACGACTAGCCTTACCTTGTACTGTTGAATAAAACCATTTGGCCTCAGCTTCTTCCGAAAGACTCATATGTTGCTGATAGTTCTAAATCCCATAGGCAAGTCAACCAATTCCCAAGTATGATTAAACATTATCGATTCTAGTTCATCATTGATAGCGCTTTTCCAGAAACTAACATCGATAGATCATATAACTTCCTCATAAGTCTTAAGATCCTCATCTAATAGAAATATTTGAGCTATAGGATCAAAAAGAGAGTCTAAATCATTTATCTCAGAAATAAAAGGAAATTATGAAATCTGGTTTAAAAGAGGTTTCGGTTCTTTGTCTTTTACTTATTCTAGGTTCGAATTCAATTTCTTGAGTAGACCTAGATGGTACACTAGAAGAAGTGGATGAAAAGTTTTCTATTTGCGTTTCTTCATTCAATTTAGATTTCTTTAAAGGAAAAGAATCTTCGAAGAAAATGACATCTCTCGACTCACAAATAGAATAGTCTTGTAGAAGCATGAATTTTTACGCGACGTTGTTTGTAGTATACCCTATGAACACTGTATCAACGATTTTAGGTTCGATGGTGGACTTCTTAAAATCTAGTAATCCTACTTTAGCCAGACACCCCCACACTTTCAAGTATTGTAGGTTTGCAGCGTATCCTATCCACAACTCGTATGGAGTAGAATCTAATTTCTTATAAGGTACTCGGTTTAAAATATGATTTACCGATAGAATGGCTTCCCTTACATGTTTACAGATAACCCGAAACTTATCAACAATGAGTTCATCATCTCTTTTAAAGTTCTATTTTTTCCTTTCGGCTATACCATTTTGTTGAGAAAAATAAGAGGCTGAAGTTTCATGAATTATGTCATTATTCTCACACACCCTTTTTAATCAATTTGATTTGTATTCACCACCTCTATCAGATTTAAGTCATTTGATTCTCCTATCTAACTGATTCTAAACTTCCTCCTTATAAATAAGGAATAAGATTTCAGGCTCGCCTTTAGTTCTAAGGAGATAAACCTTTGTGTATCTCGAGTAATCATCTACAAAGGTCATGTAGTAATATTTTCCTCTTTAGAACGGAAAGTGTACCGTTTAGTAACACCGTTTTTTTGGATCGAACCACGGCTGTTCTCTCCTATAACACGGACGGACGCATTGAAAACCTCCTCTAGAGACAGCGTCGGCCCATGAACTTCACAAGAATCACCTGCTCTACGATCATCGTGGTATTGAGGATTGAATTTCGGCCTTGGCCTGAACCGGTCTCCATGTTCTCTATTGGGGTCTGCAAAACTAGACCTAGCGAGGATTCTCTGTGTGGCGCAAGATGAACAATACGCGACTCCGATGAGGCAGAGTTGATGGCAATCATACATGCTTTTGTTATTTTTTTCTTCAATCCAAGGGGTTGAAAGATTGGATAGCGTTGTTTCATGCTGCTGGTATCGAACATTTGAGTGGGAATGGTGGTGGTAAATGGTAATTACTTGGTTTGACGTTTTATGAGGCTCCCGAGAAATGGAATCCATGGAAATCCTCGCCCATCCTGGTTTTTTGTTCTCTTGAGGTTAACACCAATTCCGGGGTTGTAAAGAACTATGTTATCCGGCCCAAACGTTTTTCACTCCGCCGGAGGTTTCACTTCCCACCGTGATTACGGCAAACGGGGATGACCCTGTTAATCGACGGACAGTGCTGGGGCGTATGTTTTTGTTGTTACCTCAGAGATTAAATCTTGTTTTCTTTACGTGTAATGTATTAACGGAATGGTTGGCCTCCACAACTTTAATATTATACAAAAAGGGCTAATGGACATTATAAAAAAATCTAATAATCTATATCCAATCAAATTAAATCAAAGCCTATAAAATAATCATTAAATTTGTACAAAATAATCTGACATTATAAAAAAATTAATAATTATTCTATAATACCTCAATAAATTTATTGATATTTTATAACCATTTAAAATATTTAATAATTATTTTATAATTTTTACGAAATTAATAATCAAAACAATCATTTAAACATAAACATAGTTCAATGACCTTTGATATACTTCACCCCTACTTTTTCCAAGAACTCTGGATGTTGAGCCCATAATTATGTAGACTCCCCTTATAGTCAAAATGAAATCGAATCAAACTCTTAACTAAAACCTGCCTTTTTATATAACATGCAAAACTAAAGATATGAACATAAAGGTATCCATCCTGCTTACATATTTACAAACAAATACCGATTCACCACCCCCATTAGACAAACACCACAGAGAAGTTTTCGATCCGTTTTTCTTCATTTACTAAACCCGTAGGCTGCGGATGAGTTTAATTGTCAGCTACTATCAACACAAGACACCTAAAGATCATTGTTCTAATCAAAACAAGAAGCATAAAAATGTAAGGAAATAGTTGTTCACTCTGCTAGCAGGAATGCCCAAATTGTCTATTCAGCTTCTGATAACAAGAGTATCTCACTTATCACCCCCACAACGACTAACTTGGTGGTGTCGGTACAGGCCTGGATTTTTCACATTCTTTCGATTGGCTCGGTCCGATCCTCAACAGCCAAGCGCTCTGACACATCGGCCAGTGACTTGAGGTTGCACTTGATCAGTGCCTCGACGAAGTAGCATGTTTCATCCTTGGTGTTCCCTTCTGGTACATCCACTACAAAGGACTCGATCACCAATGATCCTGGTCTGCCATCAATGACCTCGGGATGCACTGTAACAATGGATGAGTAGTTCTGCCAATTTGCACATAAGGACAATTTAGCAGTTTCATATCATGATAAAAGTTAAGGACATTATAAAGTTCAAAATTTGACCCCGAGAAGAGAGAGGTCAATGTAGAACTGGTACAATAGCTTTCAGGTAAATTCAATTATTGAAAATAAAAGGAGGCAGTATAAAATATCTCAGAACTAATAACTAAAACATCTTTTGACGAATATGTTAAACATCATTATTGCTTACTCATGTGCATAAACTAAAAATGTTATATTATACCAGATTCATTACATGCAATAAGAGCCAGGAAACCATTGGCTGTCGCAATAAGATGGGTCCAGGTCAAATGTTCCCTTAGCACAAAAACCATAAATTATTTGATTAAGGCCACATAAGGTATAAAATCCCCCCCAGGCAGAGTGCAGGCAAGAAGCTCATTCATGCCACTAGTCAAATTCAGCAGAAATAGATTTCACAAGTCAATATGAATGATATATATATATATCTCCTTGTTTCAGAACTCCAATTTCAAGTGTCATAAACATTAAAAGGATCAAATAAGAATTAATAGATTAAACAATGATTTTGGCAATTTGTACTCAATTTAGTATGACAGGCAACAGAAGTTAGCATATTCAGTTCTACATCTTACAGGTTACCATATCCAAAACCTTGTTACATTTTCAGGTAATTTATATATCACACAACAAACAGAGGAATATCATATAATAAGAGACAAGATAAGTTAATTCAAGATTAATATTTATATTTCAGACAAGATCGTATGTTGAAAAACTAAAAATCTATAGGAATTCAAAGAGTAGTTGTTTTAAGTTAAGTGTGTGGTGTTTAAATTCAACCAAATGGAAAACTCATACCTTCAACCTATGGTCTCCTCCGAAAATCTTCATGCTCAAAATATGCTCATCTTCATCTAGATACTCTAACCTTTCTTTGCTAGTTGTGGCCGGCAAACCTGACTTAACATTGACTTCTCTAACACTTCCAATCTGAAGGTCACCCTGCAGAACACACCTGCTAACAAATGGCTTATATTTCTGCGGTTGATCGAATCTCCTCACCAAAGACCAAACCTGATTGATCAAAAACCAATAATCATTCATTAGTGAAGAAAATAATGTCAAGTTTGCCTTCGATCAAAGCAACTAAAACTTGAAACTTAATCTCAAAGTAACTTTATTTGTAACTACATGAAAATCAGATTGGCTAAGTTAATTTGTAGCTATATTAATTGGTATCAAATTAAACTAGTTCAACCTGAAGTTCATCACAATCTGAAGATGAAACATATGAACCTCGAGTTATCATTTCCATAAATCCATATTTAGAGAAATGAAAATTTAACAGAAGTCTTAAGTTCTGTATCCATTCAAACAAAGCAAATACTTAACAATTCATTATACACGAAAACAACAATCTTAGAGAGTGAATTATACTAATCAATCCCCAATCAGAAGTCATCAAGTATTTTACATTCTCTCTCTTAAAATCATTAGCTATAAAATAGCTGAAGTTCGCGTTCAAAGAGTAAACACAAATCGTTTGTAACTTCAATTGATTCACAAAATGTTTACATCATCATATAACAGTTCAAACGAGAATACGAGATACATAATAATCTGTCTGAAAATTTTTAGTGATAACTTCATAATTCTAATAAGTTCCAACTTTAATTTCAATCTCCTACGAATTCTCCCAGCATGAAATGAAAAATAAACGAAAATTAACTGACTAAGCAAGAAAAGGCTCTAACCTCACAGATCTATGTACGGATCTAACACGAAATAAGAATTCAATTGATTCTATTAAAATAAATAACTACTGAAATCGAGAAAAAGAAAAAGAAAACATACGAGATGAACCGGAGCTTTGATGTGTTTAACCAGGGAAGAGCTGCACTGATTTTCTTTAACGTCGTGTTTATGGTGCTTCTTGATGAACTCTTCTCCTACCTTACTAAACTTGTTCCCGTTCATGGCGATATAATCATTGGTCACCATCGAGGTAACTTCAGCAGAGACCCTAGCCCGGGGAAGTGCGGTGGAGAAAAAAGTAACCGACGGCGGGAAAGAGGGGGGCGAATTAGCGGGTTCGGGTACCGTTAAAGGGGAATCACGGAAAGGTCCGAAATGAAACGACACCGTACACGCTCAACAGTTAAACGTTTCCTTCCAAAAGGAATTTGGACGGACGTGGTTAAAGTCTAAATCATCTAACGGCTGCGTATTTATAGCTTTGTGCTGGGTCTTTGAATTGTTGGGCAGCCCAAAGTTTTCTTCCAAATGATCTACTTTCTAAGATTCTAAATTCTACTCGATTATTTAAAAAAATCAATTTGAATTTAATCAGATTTTAATTTCAAATTTTAATTTGACTCAAAATTTAAATGTTTAAAATATGATTAATATTTATTTAAATTCAAACTTTAAATATAAATTTTAATAAAAATATTTATTAAAATAAAAGAATATTGACTAGTTTATGATTTGTTCGAGTAAAATATTAAAATATTTATATTTGATTATAAATAGCTTGAAACCTAAATTCATTAAGTGGCCACAATGATCAAGAGGAGTAATATTATCCTTAGAGATCATGAATTTAAATAGTTACAGGTGTACATTATCAATGATTAAGAAATATTATAAATAAATATTTTTATGCCATACTATTAAAAAAATTAAAACCATATCGATCCCATTCTTAACACATGTTAAGAGTGTGACATGTGTGCTAAAAATACTATAATCATGTGTAATTTATACTCAATTATTTGATAAATTAATACTATATTATGTTCTGACCTAATTTTTTAATTTATAGTATTAAAATTACAGTCCCTAATTTTATTTGAAAATTTTAATATCTTATTTCTTTATATCAATACGTTGATATATTATCATTAATAGGAAAATATTAAAAAAATACACTTTCTAATCAAAACAGCTATAAGCTGAAAAAAAAATCACTACGGAAAAATTGGATGAGAGCGTTGTAATCCTAATTAGCAAGAAAATCCCATAAGTCGGCATCAAAAGACAGCATTCTGGCAAGCAAATCGTCGTTAAATCGTGGTTAATCTACCGTCATCGTCATCGAGTGACCATTCGAAACAGAGGCCGGTGAATTTCCGGCTCCCCAAAACCCATCATCAGACACGGTCGACCACGCCGGCTCCTTGCTTAAAACGTCGCTAAAAACCTTAGTCGACAACGAAGGTGAACGATCGTTGAAATCGACCTTCTTGCCTTTCTTCTTGTCTCTCTCTGATTTCGTCTTTTGACAAATGGCTTCAATCTTGGCATCAACCAAGCTCTTGAGAGCATGCAACTGAGCACAATCTACGAACCCAAATTTACTCGGGTCCTTCAGATTCGGGAAATTCAACCTTGCGTACTCCCCTCTAAGCTTATGAGCTGCCCGATCATATGCCAAAGCCGCGGTTTCGGGTGTTTCGTAAGTGCCTAACCAGACTAGCTTTCTGTTCTGTGGGAGTCTGATTTCGGCCACCCATTTGTCCCACTGTCTCTGTCGTACGCCCCTGTAAAGCTTCTTCGTCACAGGGGTCGGATATTTGCTCGTCGATACGTGGTTTTGGTGGCTGAATTTTCTAAGGAGATCTCTTTGGTGGTGATAGACTGAAGAGCCTAATGGCTCGTGAGCGGAGCTTGTGGCGGCGGCTGTAGACGACGAGGGCGAGAAACGAGAGAAGATTGAATCCATGGTGTTTGAGCCTCCTGATAATATGAGCTGTGATAGGGAAGAGCCGATATCTGCGCCATTTTTGAACCCACAAATATGATTGGTTTCTTCCATAATGCCTTCACCAAAACTGACATTATTTTTGAAAATTAATTTTAAGAGTAAATTACATGTTAAGTATTTAAACTATTAGTTTTAGTTCGTTTTAGTGCCTAAACTTTTAATTTTTTCAAAATCATACCTAATGTTTAGTTTTATTTCATTTTAGTATTCGTCGATAAAAACTTAACATAGGGGCTTGCCGGTCGTCGCATCTATAACTGCCGACTGTCGCATCTGTCAGTTAATAAAGCCTCAATTTCTCTAAATCAACGATTGACTCTTCGACTTTTTAACCTCTAATCTCCATTGTCAACTATCTGATGGGTCTATTGACCTAAACTTCATCATCTGGTTTTGAAAGAAGCAAGGATTATTCATGAGTTAGTTCGGGATAAGATACTAGGACCATGAGAATGTCCTCTGGCTATGATATTGGTGTTTCTTGTGCTTGTAAATATGAAATGTACTCTGGCAGTATAATCCATGACTGTAGCTGCTTAGAGCTTATAATGCTCCCACTAATTTAGTTAGCTTCACTGTCCTTTGTAGGGGGTTCGATTTGTACATATTCATTAGGCGATTATCTTGCCCATTATTCAAGAATCCTCAAGTCATAATCTTATTTCATTCTCCCCTTTATTTATTAGAAGGGTGACATTTCTTGGCATTAGTAATGGATCCAGTTACAATATATGAAACTCTAGTTTTATATTAATTTATGATCATTAGATAAATAAATGTTAATGATTTAGTTTAAAAATAAAGAGTTTTTTACGTACAAAAAAAGCGTGGATAATTTGATACATATTGGTTGTATATATTAATATATAATTTGATACATACTGGTATACCCATGTCGGAAGGGAGTCGGAGAAAGGAGACGCCGCACCGCAAAAAGATGCTGTTCCAGCCCATGATCCTTGACGCTACATTGCTCAATCTTCCTGCCATCTTTCTTCTTCCCTTTGGTAAAATTGGTATTCAGCTATGGAGTCTTGATATTACCCAAAACTATGGGCGATTGCCCAATGTGGATCCACACATGGGTAAAATTGACGTAAAAAATTTGACTCATTAGGTTATTTCAAAAATTATTTTGAGGTATAAGTTACGTGCGATAAGTTTTAATAAAATATATATATTTTTAGAATATCACCCAGACATAATAAATTTTAATTAAAAAATATATTTTATAGGAATTCTTCACGTCAACGTGTTAAGTTTGAATAAAAAATATTATTTAGACAAACTCGTCATGTGTACGTGATGAGTTTACACTGTACTGTAGTATTTGTCGTAGATTTCAAAGTTGATTTAATGGGCTAGTTTTATCTCCTGCTTAACTTATTGGGTCAATTTTACCTACACAAGTGCAAGGCATAAACAAAATGGAATGGGACCTAAGCCCATCATGATTAACCCTTTTATTGGTAAATGAACTTTCACTTGTATGTGTGTGTGCCCAACATTCATTCACGAAGATGTTCTTTCAACTACCTAGGGCTAGCATATCACTTGAACTGGATTCTTTTATCTTGATATTATTATATTTATTTATTTTAATTTGCTAATAATTGATGACATAGATAAATCCGTAGTTTTTCATCAGTTTTTTAGGGTTATCCCTGCATGTTGTGTGGTCCGCCAGAACGTGCCCACGTGGGGTACTTTCATCCCCATGGCTAACCAGTCCTTCCGTTGCCTGTAAAACATGGCCTCGAACACCGTCGCATCAGCTGCACTTCTTGTCGCCCTTAAACTGTTGTTCTTCACCTTGGTGAGGTCGACCGACGACCTACGTGCCATGCACTTGGGACGGGACCTAGAAAGCTTAGCCAGCCAGTTGCCCTACACATACACTCAAACTGTGTGTCTGCATGTGCTGATTTGTTTTGGGGGAGCGGTGTAATGTATGGTAATGGTCTAAATCAAAGCTCTTGTTATCAACGTGCAACTTGGTGTGCGAGTCAGCATTTCCGGTGAATCATTTTCAAAGGAATCAAAATTTTCCTTTGAATCGGCGTTTACTTTGTGCTGCTCCTCACAAGGAAAGAAGATTTAGATTCCCCCTGGCTGCTGTAGAAATTTTTGGCAAACCATTTTCCTAGCAATTCCTTTGATTTGCGTCAATATTGGGCTGCTCTACAAGTATGTAAAGTTCACATCACAATAATAGTTTTCAAAGTTACCATAATACTAGTCATATCGTGTAATAAACATCGCAACTGTAATTTAATATTATAGCACGTTTAGCGGTTAACATATTTCCTCCTCACAATTTAATATTATAGCAGTTGAACATGGCAATGTGCTATAATTTCCCATACGAGTAATGGTCTAAATTACGGGAATCTATAATAAAGAAAGATCTAGAGATTGATCCTATAAGAGCAATGGGAACATGGCAATGTGGTATAATTTCCTCCTCACAATCACAAATTTCCAAACTTCACCAGCCAAACTCATGGAATGCTGCTTTCTCATATTCTTCAAACCAGCCAGCTCAAAGTGATGACCCTACAGTTGGATTAACATATACAAAACAACCGACCAGCCCTGTTGAACACACCATAAAACCCCCTCCCCCTTCGCTCCAAATTCACCATCCTCCAACACTCCTACTTTTAACTCTAAGCAAGCCAACTGCAACTAGGGTTTTTGAGATGGCTTCAAAGAGATCAGCTTCCACGGCCCTTCTTTTGGCACTCAATATTCTCTTCTTTTCCCTCGGCAATGCTTCTAACCCCTGCCCTCCCACCAACCCTAAGCCTAACCCGAACCCCACCCCCTACTCCATCTGCACGAGGCAGATGCCCCAGGGATGCCCTTAAGTTAGGTGTGTGTGCTAATGTGCTTAACTTGGTCAACGTCGTCGTTGGTTCACCCCCGGTGCAGCCATGCTGTTCCCTTATCCAAGGCCTCGCTGACCTCGAAGCCGCCATCTGCCTTTGCACCGCACTCAGAGCTAACGTCTTGGGCCTCAACCTTAACATCCCGGTTTCCCTTAGCTTGCTTCTCAACGTTTGCTCAAGGAACGTTCCTACGGGCTTCCAATGCTAAATAGACACTCTTCACTATCTTCATTTTCCTTATGTTTTCCACTATTTCCAATAAAGCAGTGTTTTCTTCTGGCAACTTTGCATTTTAAATTTTCCTAGTGGGAATTGATGCATTCTTCAAGTGTGTTTTTCCCAGTGTAAGGGACATGAAAAGACTTGTATTATTTTCCTTGTTGTTTCTTTATCGATTTAGTTATGTGATGCCTATTTATTTATATTTTTATGTTTGTATTTTTCGCTCAACATGCAAAATGTGGGCAAAACGCTTGGATCAATAGTTATATACAGCGGTGGATCCATAAATATTTTTTTAAGATAGACATATATATATATATATATATAACATAAAAATTTTAAATGAGATGAGTATAAATAGAATTTCAAGGTGGGTACCGTCCGTAAAATAAGTAAATAATCGAAGAAAATTCAGATTTTAAGGTAGGCACGTGCCCAACTTCACCAAGTTGTGCCTCCGCCACCGGTTCTATACCTTAATTAAGAATTCTTGAAATGCAAACTAATAACCATTAATGGTCAAACCCAGTTATCATTCAATAATGGTGGCTCAAGCTTGGGAGCGCCTCCGTTGCGTGGTGAGCTTGGAAGGCGTTACGGCATAGGATGTGGCTTAGTACGAGGAGCACAAGCATAAACCGGTTGCAATTATACCCACATGAAAAAGGTAAAAAGCATGCATGGCAACATGGATTTAAATTGAGATTACGACTGCGTTTTCAGTCGTGTTACGTTTATCGTGGTTTCAAATATAATAAATACTACTGCAGTCATTGCGGCTATCGTGATCGTGAATTTTTTTCTAAATAAGTTATTTTTTAAAAAGAAACTAATTTTTTCAAAAAATAAAATGAAATAACAGAAAAATAAAGAATAACAGTCCGCTATTGCCGTGATTGGCCACTATCCGCTAAATTAAGGCCACAATCTACCATTATTAATGTGATTATGTTTTTACACCGCTATTTTCCGCGACCACGATATAACGGTCGCGATACCGTTATCTGACCGCTATTTGAATCCCTGCATGACAATAAGCTTTACGTTACCCTTAAATATACGGAAAATTTGAAAAGAATAAATTACATTAGAGATTACTTGACTATGCTCAGGTATGGTTTTGGTTGCTGAATTTTTAAAAATATAAATAAAATAATTATTAAACTTTTTAAAAATATTAAAAATGATATTACATCTTATAAAATATCATTAAATTTATTAAATGACTTTGCACAACCAACAAATTTAGGGTCTGTAATCAGTAATCATAGGATATTAATAAGGAAGCTTAATTCTCAAGCTGCTTTGTTTCCATTAGATGTTGCTTTCTTACATGCTTCAGTTTGGATTTTCCGGGAAAATACGAAAAGAAGAAAACCAGAAAACTCAAAAGAAAATTAATAGAGTATGAATCTAGCTAAAAGAAAAAATCTCTAGCAATTTGATCAAAGCTTGAGGAACAGTGAAACTAAGAATTGATGGAAGTAATTATTAGGGCCCATGTGCTTAATTCCCCTCCTTTCTCAAACATCTGCAAATCCCCATCAATTGTTCTGGCTTTTCCAGTTCACCATGAAAGCTAAGAGACAAAGCTACCTCATCAGCATTCACATGCATGTGCTTATTTACTCGTCCTTTTCATTCATTCATTTTGGTTCCACAATTATCTCTTCTTTTTGTGTACATGTATAGTAATGTATCAGTGTTTTAATTTATTGACTAAATAATTCAGATCAAATAGTACGGTAAAGACTCGAAAGATTATCTCAGTTTAATAACCATTAGTCTGATGTACAAATTATGATAATGTTACTAGTAGCATGGTAACTAGTATACAAGAAAACAAAAATAGTTTATGAGATAGATCATTTTTATTCCTATCTTTCAACTTTATGATGGTGAATAATTGAACAATTAATCCATAGTTTTTCATCAATTTTTTAAAGCTTATAACGCATAAATTTATGTTAGGGGCGCGAACTTAAGAAGTTATATTAAAAAATTTTAGAGATGTAAAGCTATAAAATTTTAAGGGTGTTAAATTAGATAATCAATAGAAAATACAAAAATAAAATCTAAAATATAAGAGAATTTAAAAATTCTAAGGGGTGTGACAGCACCAGTACCCCTGTGTCCATCCCTGCCAACGTGCCCACATGGGGTATTTTTACTCCAACGTGCCCATGGCCATAACCAGTTCCTTAATTCGCCTATAAAAACCCTAGCCCTGATTCACCATTTTCATCACACCAACACTCACAACTGTTGTGATTCTAAAACATCATGGCTTCGACAACCGTCGCATCGGCTGCGCTTCTCGTCGCCCTGAACTTGTTGTTCTTCACCTTGGCGAGCTCGACCTACGTGCCATGCCCCCCGCCGCCCAAGAGCCCCAAGCCATCCCCCAAGGGCTGGCCCTCGGGGCCTAAAAGGCCAGCCACTTGCCCTAAAGATACACTCAAACTGGGCGTATGTGATGATTTATTGGGTGGACTAGTGCACGTCGTCGGAGGCTCACCGAGGACCAAATGCTGCCGTCTCATCTCGGGTTTGGCTGATCTCGATGCAGCCGTTTGCCTTTGCACTGCGATGAAGGCCAATGTGTTGGGGACCAACCTCAATGTTCCCGTTTCATTGTCCCTGCTGCTCAACGCCTGTGGAAAGAAACTGCCTGCCGGTTACAAATGTGCTTATTAAGCTCACTTCCAATGTTTTGGGTCTTTTATTTTCTTTTATCATGTTTTGGGTGTGTTTAATTTGGAGTTTTGGTATGCCATAATCATTCACTAAGTGCTACTTGTGTACTTGTTTTGCTGGTAGGAAAGAAGGCTTCTCGCCTTCTAATCCTAATTAATTTGTGTTCCTTAATTTCAGTTCAACATTCAATAAATAAACAGCTTTGCTCAATGGAATTTATTTTAGGGTAAATTACACATTTAATACTTAAACTATCAATATTGATCCATTTTAACACCTAAACTTTCAGTTTTTTTTAAATCGCACCTAAAATTTAGTTTTTATTTCATTTTAGTATCCGTGTTCAAAATTTAACGTTAAGTTTTGAAAAAATTGAAAGTTTAGATACTAAAACGGATCAAAACTGATAGTTTAGGTGCTAAACGCATTAAATTTTTAATAGTGGGTGCTAAAATGAATCAAAAACTAAACATTAGGTCTGGTTTCGAGAAAATTAAAATTTTAGGTATTAAAACAGAGCAAAACTGATAATTTAGGTACTAAACGTATATTTTACCCTTTATTTTATCAGTTACATGTGTTGAAACTTCTAACATAGTATGAAAATACAAATTGAACTTGTAAACTCGATTAATTCAAACTTTTTATTGACTTATCATCCTTAACTGATAGTTGATTATCTAAATCGTTACACCTTATATCTCATAAAAGATGTTTATTATTGATTTTTTTGGTTAAATTTTTAAAACTTTGAGTAATTATTATTTAAAATTTATTATTGATAAAAATATATTTTAAAAACTTTCAATCAAGTAGTTTTCAAATATATATTTTATAAATTTTAATTATTTAAAATATTTAAAATAATCATGTCAAAATTTAAAAAATTTGACCTTTTTAAAAGTTAATAAATTTTTTTTTTATGGGACGAGGGGAATATTTTTTTTTTAATTTTTGATCACATTCTTGAATTGTTGTTCCGTTTTTGTCAAGCCAACTGGAAAGCAATATGAGGTTTTCAAAATCTTGTGATTCAAATCTATAGCTGTGGGTATATGATGCAAAAAGCAAGTTGAAGGGATTAAAGGTTGAAAAATTCATGTCATATCAACAATTCCAAGAATCCAAAGATTTAATTAGCTTTATATCAATTTTTTCTTTAACCAGAGACGGTATCAACTTTAATGCTAGTTGTCGACCGTCGATTCTCTTTTATCTTTATTTTTCTTTTGTTTTTTAATATGAATAATTATGCATGTGTTACATGTTTATCTCTGTTTGTTTGTATTGCACGTTTATCTCTGTCTTTGGGGCATGTTTTTCAATTTTTTCTCTCGATCGTTTGTCCGTTCTTTTATTTATGTTTTATCAGGGTTGTATTTGACGACGCAACGACTGATCAAGATGACGCTTATTTGAAATCTTGTTGATCTTCTCTGCTATGGACCTTTGGATTGAATTTGGATGTGTGTTTTTGCGTTTGAGGATAATTTCTCACGACGCTTTGCTCTGATCTGCAATTCTCAGTGGTATTTCAATAGCTTAATTCTCTTTTGTGTTTCGTTTGCTGATGCAATCAGATTTATTCGTATCTATTTTTTTTTTCAAGTCTCTTGGATGGGGTTTTAACCTTTTCCATGTATGGTTTTTATATAATCTAAAGTGGTTAATTTTAATGTTATAAGAAAAGTCTGAATTATGTATTTAGTTTACGATGATAGTTATAAACTCTTATCATAATTTTGGATGTTTTCACTTTTTTTAATAATACTAACGGCGTTTATTAAAAAAAACAGCTTTATATGTGTTTTGCAATAAATTACACACAAAAAAATATTTTATTGCGAATTTGGCCTTTTATATATTATTAATCAATTGAATTATATTATTTTGATGAAATTAAAATCACATGTATTGATTTTTTTTATTTTGAAAACAAAAATGATAATTTTATTGGTACAGAATTCAAACAATTTGCCATGCAATCAGGAAAATTATACAAAGCACCAAAAATGAAAGACTATATAATTAAGACAAGTCTCACTTTGGTCCACTATATACTTAAGACTATATAAAAAATTCAAATAAATTAGAAAATATCTCATTAATAATCTTAATAAAAAATAGTATTATCTTAAAAAATTTAAAAATATATATATTTTTATTAAAATTTCATGTATGATTTGAAACATACAAAATCTTTGTTAAAATTAATATGTAAATAGAAACAAAATGACATATACATATAAAAACAACCACAATAATAAATAATATAAGATAATAATAAAAATGAACATGCTGAAGGACTTAATTGAAATAACAAAAAAATGGACAATAAAATAATTAAACATGCAAATTAAGGATCAAATTGTATAAATGATAAATAAAAGGAATAAAATAACAAATATCCCAAAGAATTTAGAAAGGCGTGAGTCCCATCTTGAATGATAGAGTGTATCCCAAAATTAGGGATGGGCATGAGTTCGGTCCGATTAGATTTTAAGTCTATTAGATTCGATCCGAAAATTATAAATTATTCACATGATTTGGATCTAACTAAAAAATGTACACTTTTCACCCAACCCGAATCCGACCCATTTTTTAGATAAAATTTGAATTTGACTCGACTCAAAATAATATATTTATTTAAAAATATTATTTTTATTCAATAAAAATATAAATTTAATTGAAAGAAAATAATGTATAGATGAATATTATTGCAATTATCCATAAATATATAAGGTAAAATTACAATTTTTTTGGGCCGGGTATTTTTCATCCTAAACCCGAACCCGACCCGAATATAACCTTAAAAAAACCTGACCTGACCCGACCCAAACCTTTTTTTAAATCCGGCCCGATTTGGTTCGGGTCCGATGTCCATCCCTACCGAAAATGACGTGGTTTTGAAGGGAAAAAGTAAATTTTTTAAAATGAGAGGTGCAACAATAGAACTTCCTAGGAGGTCACCCAATCTAGTACTACCCTCGCCCAAGCATGTTTAACTGCAGAGCTGTGATGAGATATGATGCATTAGTACTGGTATGATTACACCCGAGAAAAAAAAACATATATAAATCGTTAAACTTTGTTTCTTTTCATTTTTAATCAAAATTTTCTAAATTTCATTGTTTCTTGTATTGGCTATTGAATTTTTAATTCTACTTTTTAATGCTAATCAAGTTAGTTGAAGACGACATGTCCCAAAGAATGAAGATTGTGTCTTAAAGTTATTTCAGACCACAAGAATGGTTCACGGGTTTGAATTAGAGCCAAGGGATACTAGGGGTTGTTTGTTTGGCTCTGAATGATAGGGCCGACCCTGGGTATTTTTTGATCCGGGGTGAAATAAAAGAAATGAACCCTTAATTTTAAAAAAATATAAAAAATATATAGTATAAAATTGATATTTTTTTATTAAAATAAAAAAATAATAGCAACCATTCTGCCCCGGCCCAGGGCTCTGTTCCTCTTTCAAATGGCGATGTTGATGTGTCTATGCTTAAAAATATATAGTATAAAAATTATAAATTTTATGGGCCTTGGGCGAGTGCCCCTTCTGCCCCTGCCCAGAGCCGACCCTGCTGAATGGAACCATTCAGCGTTGAATGTTGAACCGTTCAATATTCAGCATGTTTGTTTCTCACCTCTGAATGATTCAGTGCTGGCTGATTCAGCAAAACAGTGCTGAATGATTCAGCATCAAAGTACATTCTGAATCATTCAGAGCCATTATCAAACAACATGCCACATTCAGAACTAATTCATACAGAGCATTTGAATCATTCAGCATTTGAATCATTCATCGCTTAATCATTCTGAAATAAACAAACAACCCCTAACTTCCCAATTCAACTTAAAAGTTAGTAGATTAAAATATAATTATTCTTCGTAATTTTAATCATCATACCTTTTTTTTCATAAGTATATGGTGAATAAAATATAGTATATATTTAAAGACTATCAACTCTTTGATAATAAATGCTTATAATCTTATACACATGCTCGAATCCGAGACCTCAAGTGACAAAAAATCTCTTAACCATTGAAATTGTTTAATTTGTTATGATCTAAATTAATTCCTCATTGAATTAAATACAAATAATTGTACACTCACTTTTAATATATATATATATATATATATAATATTCGATCTAAATTAATTAATAAATTAAATACCAATAATCACATAAAAGTTATTAAGCAACTCCAAGGAATCTGTCTTTTTGCGCAGTAAGATGACCAGTTTTCTTTGTAATCCTTTTTTATGTTTTCCACGTGACGATGCTTAGATATTCCTCAACAAATTCTCAGTCACGGACACAAAACTATACTTGCAAGTGTGTTTTATTTGTGCTATTTTTATTGCAATTGTAAATATAAATTAAAATAATAAAAATATAAAATAACAAACAAATTGATAATTATCATTGAATTTTATACCAATCAAACTCAATTAATTTAGAATCACATACAGATTTCATTAATAATTGACATGGAAACATAAGGAAATAAAACAAGGTGAATAATACAAGTCTCGTCATGTCCCTTAGAGATACAAAAAGCCCTAAGAAAGCACTTGAATAAAAGTAATGGACTTATTAAGTATCAATCTCCGCGCAAATGAAAAAACAGCAAAAGTTACCAACGACAACACTGATTTACCGGAAATACTGGAAACCGTAAGAACGACGACGACGAAAAGAGTCGGTTTAGCATTGGAAGCCGGTGGGAACATTCCTTGAGCAAACGTTGAGAAGCAAGCTCAGGGAGATTGGGATGTTAAGGTTGATGCCTAGTATGTTAGCTCTGATAGCGGTGCAAAGGCAGACGGCGGCTTCAAGGTCGACGAGGCCTTGGAAAAGGGAACAACATGGCTGCACCGGGGGTGCACCGACGGTGGCATTGACCAAGTTCAGCACATTAGCACAGACACCTAGTTTGAGGGCATCCCTGGGCACCTTCCTCGTGCAGATGGAGTGGGAGTTGGGTTCGGGTTAGGGATGGTGGGACGGCAGGTGTAACAAGCACTGCCTAGGGAGAAGAAGAGGATGTTGAGTGTGAAAAAAAGGGCAATGGAAGCTGATCCTTTTGAAGCCATTTTGATTTATTGAAAACCCTAGTGGCCTGCTTGGCTCAGGGTTCAAAATACAAGTGTTTGAGGATGGGGGATTTTGGGGTTAAGCGAGAGGGGTTTTATAGTGTTTCCAAGAGGGTTTAGGGTTAATTTTTTTAATGTTAGTTTGAGTGACCAAGTTGTAGAATAAAAATCATAATCTGGGCTGGCTGGTGAACAGAGACGGACCATGACAAAAATTCAGGAGTTGCACAAAAATTAGACATATCCTAATTCCCACAAAACTGAAAATAGGTGTTTGATTCATGGGCTTAAAGTTTATTTTTTGGGCTTGATCGCTTTTTTTAATTTTAAATACGATATTAATTTTTTTCTATAATAAAGAGCAATAGTTACATACAATATTAAGAGTGACACTTGTATTAATTAAAAAAATAGAAAAAATTAATACTAAATAGACAATTTGAGAAGTTGCCTGGGATACCCAGGGCAACTATAAGGTCCACCCCTGCTGGTGAAGTTTGGTTGCTTGTGAATTCTGAGGTAGAAGCTAGCATATTTCCATGTTACCACTCCCCTATAGGATCAATTTTTTTTTGGATATTTGAGTTTTGTGATTCAAATTGCATCTTAATTCGATTTAAAAAGTTTGCGGTACGATCCAGTATTTAGTGAATAAATAAAATTGAGAAAAAATAGGATCTATACTATACTATGACGGATGCAGACACTCGCGAACCGAAAAACTAGTGAAATAAATGTGATTTTTTTTTCATTTAGAAATTTTTACGTAAAATTTTAGAATCTTGTGTTAGTGAAGATAATTCTTCCCGTCATTATCTCCCTAATAGTGTATTAAAAATGCTATTTCCCCCCCTGAAAAACAAAAGGCATCTTTGATGTTACAGAGTGTATGGAATCTGAAGCATATGAGAAATCAAACATGTAATAGAAACAGACCGTTTTGAGATGGTTCCTTAATATTGCAATAGTTCTTGATAATTTCTGCATGCAAACCCTAATTCTGTCTGTACGTGGGATTTTTATGTCTTGAAATCTTGGCATATGGCCGATGGAAGTTGTCTAGCTGGATTGGACGGGTGTGTCACGGGCGAGCTTAGAACCGACCACTGGATTCACGAGATTACCAATTCTCGCTCACGTTTAATTGATAACTTTTAGATGTTAATTAATATTAGTAAAAAAAAATATCAAAGGTCCGTGTACTTAAAAAAAATTAATGTGCCACTAGTATTATTTTTTTAGTGTAGTCTTTCAATTCAGAAAATAAATTTAATGTAGTTCTTTAACCAAAGTTTTTCGTAGTTTAACTATTGCGGTGCTGACGTGATAGTTGATGTGACGTCCATTATAGTTGATGTGACGTTCATGATAGTTGATAACATGGATGATAACATGACAGATGTTTTAAATTGGTAACTTAAACATGACAGATGAACTGACATGTCAATACCGTGAATTGTCACTGCAATAATGTTATAGTCAAACGACAAAAAAAGTTAGTCAAATAATCACGCTAGGTTTATTTTTTGAGTTGAAGAGTTTCATTAAAAGAAAAAATAATACGATGATCATTTTAATTATTTTTTTTAAAAAAAGTAGAGAGACATTTAATGTCTCTTACTTTAATATTATAAAAAATCAATAACTCACTAACTAAAATTGAGTCTCGTGGTACTTGAACCCAGCTCTAATTACCTTAATTTAAACCAAATATTAATTTAATTATCATTAGCTACTCTTTTATTTTTAGTATTTTTTATGATCTTTATTTTCACAGTATATTATTATTACTTCTACATCTGAAGCTAAATGTGAAGGAAAATCTTTTGCATAGTTCGCTTTTGACATTTGTGATTCCACCATACAAGGTTGATAAAAAAATATTACAAGATAATGTTTATTTAAAATTATTTTAATTTAAAATAATATATATCTTATAAACATAATTAATCGAATATAAGTAATAATATCTGTTAGTTATAAAAATGTACATAATATATATGTGTGTGGATGGATGGTAAAAAGACATTTTAGACCTCTCAATTTTAAAACTAAATAAGTAGGTCTTTTTGAAAAGTGGAATAATCTTTGTATAGCTTGGGTCATGCGCGGATGCACTAAGCCTAGTAGGGGTCATATGCATATCCATTATTTTTTAAGAAAAGAATAAAATTTTAAATTTTATTCTTAAATTTCTGGATTTGTCGCTGACTTGGGATAGTATAAGATTTATACTGTGAAGGGATTCTTCTTTTTATTGAGATGGATAAATATAAATACGTTTATTAAAAAAATAATACAAGTCTTTTTATGAGATAAAGAATCCAAAGAGAAAACTAGAAGAAAAGTAAAACACTTATTTAGTATCAATCCCTCCGCAAGGAAATGAAAACAACAAAGTTACAAAGAAAAACATGGATTCACTGGAAATACTTGAAACCACAAGAAAGATGAAGACAGGGAAGAGTGGCGATTTAGCATTGGAAGCCCTTAGGAACATTCCTTGAGCAAACGTTGAGGAGCAAGCTAAGGGAAATCGGGATGTTAAGGTTGATGCCTAAGATGTTAGCCCTGATAGCGGTGCAAAGGCAGACAGCGGCTTCGAGGTCGACGAGGCCTTGGAGAAGGGAACAACATGGCTGCACCGGGGGTGAACCGACGGTGGCATTGACCAAGTTAAGCACATTGGCACACACACCTAGTTTAAGGGCATCCCTAGGGCATCTGCCACGTGCAGATGGATTCGGGTTCGGCCTCCGATTAGAGTTGGTGGGAGGGCAGGGGTTAGTAGCAGTGCCTAGGGAAAACAAAAGGATGTTGAGCGTGAAAAGAAGGGCAATGGAAGCTGATCTTTTTGAAGCCATTTTGATTTTCTTTTTGAAAAACCCTCGTGGCTTGCTTGCTTGGCTTAGGGTTAAAAGTACAAGTGTTTAAGGATGGTGAATTTGGGACGAAGGGAGAGGGGTTTTATAGTGTTTTCAACAGGCCCAGTTGCTTGTTTTCAATTCAGTGCAGGCCGGTGAAGTTTGGATGTTTGTGATATTGAGCTGGGGAATTAGTACATTGCCATGTTATTACTCTCAATTGGACCTGTCTTGGCATAAACTACTTGTTTATAAATTATATAATCACCTATATATAATTAATTGGTCGCATTAATCCGAATAACATATTTTAAAATTTTATTATAGAAACACCTCTTTTAATTCAATTTATCCATTCATAATATCAAAATCCAAACTATGAATATTATTTAAGAGAATTAACGCCTCGTTCATAATTGATTCATTGTATTATCTTTTGCGGGTAGCATTCCGAAACTAATTTTTGGACAAAAGTGATCGAATTGTAATTTTTTCCGTAACTTTTCTTGCTTTAGTTTAAATAAATATTCATACGTTTGTACTTCATTACGATTAATATAAGGGGATTTTTAACGAGACCCATATTTCTATAAAAAAATATGTCTATAAAAAATATTTAAATCATATAAGTACTTAAATATTTAAATCATATAAGTACTTAAATATTTTAAGTACTTAAATGATTTAAATACTTTTTTGTATAATCATTTGATGATTTAATTTTTGTATTTTTTTTGAATTTTTATAATTTTGTATGCTTTAGATCTTTAATATACTTTTAAATATTTACACTCTTGATATAAAATCATATGTCTACCAATAATTATTTATATTTACCTTTAAATTTGAATCAATTTCCATACTAATTAAGATAAAAAAATTGATTAAACACCTAAGTTACTTAGTTGTTACCAAAGATAAAATTGATTAATCTGATATAAATCACATGCTATAATAATTAAATCAAAAGTTGTTAACGATAAATCTTATATATTAACGAAGAGAAAACATTAAAAATCATAATATATTTTCGCCGCTAACGAGTATTGGCACAAGTGATTGAAATTCAAGAATTTAAGCTTCTAAGGTCAAGTTTGAATCACATCACCGTCACTCTTGGTGAACAATCTGTAAATTCTTATGTAAATCCCAATTGGGTATTAGGTATACCATGGTCATAGATTGGGAGAGCCACCCCTGACCTAAACTTTTTAATACCAACAAAAATAATAATATATTTTCGACAATGTTAACATAATGTGCCTTTAAATATGTATTTAAAAAACGTTATAATACATTAAAATTTTCATTAAAAAATATATCAAATGATAATTCGAATAATAACAAATTAACAATAATACATTCTTTACATATAATTTGAATCCCTTGACAGATCTTCCATTAACAACAAAAGTTACAAACAAAAACACTGTTTTATTGGAAATTGTGAAAACCATAAATTTCAAAAACCATGATAAAGATGAAGGTACTGAAGAGTGGAGATTTAGCATTGGAAGCCCGTAGGAACATTCCTTGAGCAAACGTTGAGAAGCAAGCTAAGGGAAATCGGGATGTTAAGGTTGAGGCCCAAGACGTTAGCTCTGAGTGCGGTGCAAAGGCAGACGGCGGCTTCGAGGTCGGCGAGGCCTTGGATAAGGGAACAGCATGGCTGCACCGGGGGTGAACCGATGACGACGTTGACCAAGTTAAGCACATTAGCACACACACCTAACTTAAGGGCATCCCTGGGGCATCTGCCTCGTGCAGATGGAGTAGGGGTGGGGTTCGGGTTCGGCCTCGGGTTGGGCTTAGAGTTGGTGGGAGGACAAGGGGTAGAAGCACTGCCAAGGGAAAAGAAGAGAATGTTGAGTGCCAAAAAGAGTGCCAGGGAAGCTGATCTCTTTGAAGCCATTTTGATCTTCTTTAAACCTAGTGGCTAAGTGTTTGGAGATGAGGAACTTGGGGTGATGGGATGAGGATTTTATAGTGTTTTCAAGAGGGCTAGCCGGTTGTTTTTTTAGTGTATGATTTGTATGATAATTAATTTTTGAGCTGGATGGTGAAGTTTGGAAGTTTGTGATTGTGAGGTGGAAATACAGCAAATTGCCATGTTCCCACTGCTCCTTTAGGATCAATCTGCATGTGGATCTTTAGCACAAATTATATGATCTGCAACAGGTATCATCAAATGGTAAGATAATCAAATTGAGGTGGCCGGTGAAGTTTGGATGTTCGTGATTGTGAGGTTGAAATTATAGCAATTTGCCATGTTCCCACTGCTCCTATATCATCAATCCACAGATATGTCTTAGCACAAAATATACTATTTGCAACAGTCCTTCATCTATGTCTAACAATTCAAATCATCAAATAATGTTGAGTCATGGAAGCTGATCTTTTTGAATCCATTTTGGTCCTCTCGAAACCCTAGTCGGCTCGCTTTCTTGGTCTAGAGTTAGAAATATTAAACCAACAACCTTTCATAATGGAAGAAGATGGGACCCTGAAATTACTTAGTTCATGCCATAGAATCCATCCTGAGAGCATTATGAAACTAATTTTTGGACAAAACTGATCCAAAAACGGGGTTGTTTACTTTAAAATAAATATCCTGCTGCTCCATGTTCTCTCAGAATAGGATGATAGTTACAACTTGCAAACAGGTGAGGGACGAAAACAAAATCAAAATGGATGACAGATTCAAGATGAAAATAATTAATCTGTCATTGGACGGTAGCTAAGCTTTGTCCAACCTTCATGTTCTTCCATTGTCTTCCATTATCTTCTAAAGCTTAGTCCAACCTTCATGTTCTTCCATTTTCTACATTCACTAAACAGGTCGCATTACAATTTTATCATCTCGTATCGAATAAAATTTAAATCATAATCTCTAAAGTCGTCAACATTAACCATAGCAGCTTGAGGAGATTCCTTATTAATATTCTATGAATACTGCTCACAAACCCTAATTTTTGTTGGTATATGGCATTTGTCGGTGCAGAGTCTTGAGATCTTGGCATGTTGTTAATGGAAATTTCCTTTTCAAAAATTCGGATTCGACCGGCGTGTCACGGGCGAGCCATTTTGGTCTTCAAAATTCGGATTTAAATTTTCTTTTCGTATATACAATATATTTTATCACTACATTTAATATTAACCATTTTTTTACGAGGAATAACAGTTATTTTTATATTATATCTAAATATGGTTTACGTTCTTCCTTGATTGCATTGTGTTTTTATGATATAAGTACACAACGTGAAGATGCATGACAAATTTTATATTTCAATTACTAAAGACATTTCATATGTTGAGAAACAAAATGTAAATATAAAACATATGCATAAATTTATTCATTCAAACTTGATTTATTTAGCATCACTAAACTGATAAAGAAACAAGAAATAAAATAATACAGTATTTTCACGTCCTTTAGAGATACATAAATCTCTGAGAAAAACAAACTTGAAGAGAAGTAATAGACTTATTCATCATCAACTCCCGCAAGGAAATTAAAGAACAACGTTGCCAAAAGAAAACACTAATTTATTGTAAACAATAGAAACCAAAAGAAGATTTGATTAATGTGAAAAGATTTTGAGATGCTTTGAAATCAGCTCTGGTTTGAGTATTAATTTTAATAAATCGTGCCTTGTGGGTGTGGGAGTGGATGATGGTATGGTTAATTTCCTGGCTAGTTGTTGTGGTTGCAAGGTGGGTAGCCTCCCGTTTGTTTATTTGGGGATTCCTTTAGGGGCTGACCCACGTAAGGTGGTAACGTGGGCTCCGGTTATTGAGAGGTTTCGTGCTAAACTAACCGGGTGGAAGTGTAGAACTCTCTTTTGCGGGCAAAGTTGTTCTAATTAATGCAGTTTTGTCAGCTCTACTATTATACTATATGTCTCTTTTCGAAATTCCGAAAATGGTGATTAAGAAAATTGAATCAATTCGGAGGAGCTTCCTATGGGGTTATTCGGAAGGGAAAAAGAAATTGGCTCGAGTGTGCTGGAGGAGAGTGTGTTTGTCGCGGCATAAAGGTGGTGCAGGGGTAATTAATTTGCAGGCAAAAAATCAGGCTCTATTGGAGAAATGGGGTTGGAGGTTTACTTCAGAAAGGAAGGCTTTATGGAGAAGGATTATTAATTCGAAGTATGGTAGTTTGAATGAGTCGTGGAATGCTTCAAAGCTGAAAAAAAGTGTCTACGGTTTGGCGTGGGATTGTGAAGAACTGGGCTAGTGTGAATGTGAATAAGTGGATGAACAATGACAATTTGCGTTGGATTGTGGGCGATGGTAAAATGGTGTTGTTTTGGTTAGATATTTGGTGTGGAGATAAGCCGTTAAACTCTTGAGTTTCCTAGATTGTTTCGCCTGGCAGCTGTAAAAGGATTTCTGTGGCTGAATTGGCAGTCAATGGGGAGCTTTGTTTGATTCATTTGGAGGGGATCTTTACTAGGAATCTGCTGGATAGAGAAAAGGCAATGTTGGACGTCCTAAAAGAGCAAACTCATGACATGGTTTTGAAGCGAGATGTTTTTCCATGCTTTTCCGATTGGTCTCCGCGGGACGATAAGGTTGTTATTTTTAGTGTTGAACGGGCAGGTTGTGATGGGGTTCTCCATGTTAGTAATGGTTCAATTAGAGCAGTTTTCACGAATAATGTTCAGGTTGCTGCTCCAGACCATGTAAAGTTGGGTGTTTTCCTGTTAGCGTTGAAGGTTTTTGTGGAAGCGGGACGTGTGGGAGAGGAAAAGTTGGTTGAGAAGACTGATTCTAAGTTGGTGCTAAATTGGATCGAGAATCTGCTTCATCGCCCGTGGAAGTTATGGCCAGCTTGTTTGGAGATCGATTCGTTGTCCAAGCGCATTGGGAAAATCAAGTTCTCTCTCATTGAGAGAAACTTTAGTCGGATGGCTGCTTGGCTAGCAGTGGACGGGATGTCGAGATCAAGTTTGTTCAAAGCCTGGTGGTAGTTGTAGTATTCTTTCACTGTGGGCTGG